GCGGGCGGCGGCCCCCCCGGCCCGGGGCGGCGGGAGCTCCCGCGGGCCCCCCCCCGTGGAGCGGCCGGCCCCTTTCCCGGGTTCCGCGGAAAGGAAGGAGCAGGGAGCTGTGCGGGGGGAGCGGGGCTGGGTGCCCCAGCGCCAGAGAGGCCCAAGGGTCCCGTTGCAGCACGGGCGCCTCTGTCCCCCCTTCCCAAAGCGGGGGGACAGCAGTGCCTGGAGGGCAGGTCTGCGGCAAGGGACGTGTCCCCTGGGTCCTCGGGTCCGGCAGTGGCACCCCCAGAGCCGTCCGGGTGGCACCGGGGGGGCAGCCCGGCCACGGGGCTGCTTGTGGCCACCAGAGCCACGCACTGTCCCCAGAGCTGTCCCTGTTCCCGGGTCACGGCTGCCCTTAGCCCAGCCCCGAGCCAGCCCCGCTGTGGTGCCCAGTCCCTCTGCAAGGGCTTGTGCCCCGCGGAGGTCTCAACGAAGGCGGCGCGCGGCCAGGGCAGGCTGGCTTTGTCACTCAGCATGGGGACACCCGAGCTCCCCAGAGAGCGCGACTGCTGCAAATGCTGCCCTCGAAGGAGCTTTTCCTGCCGGGAATTGAGGTTTTGCCCCTCACTGCCAGCTGGTGCTTTCAGGACCAGGGCACGTGGGGTGAAGCCACCCTGTCCCCTGCGGCATCTCAGCCACGTTGCAAAGTGCCCTGCGGGACAGGAGGGCTCCTCGCTCTGCTGCCCGTTTTGTTTTCCAAGTGCCTCTCACTCCCAGTGCCCGGGGAGCCCGGGAGCTGCTGCGGTGCCATGGGGAGAGGTGTTGGGAACGCTTTGTTTGCCTCCTTCTGGGCATTGGGTTTAGGAGAGAGGAGTTCGGTGCTGTCCTCACTCATGGGCACAGAGGTGGTGGCACCGGTACCGGACAGAGCTGCTCGTGGGACCTGTCCTCTGGCTTAGCGGCCTCCCCGAGCAGGGGGGAAAACGGGAACACGGCAGCGGAGCGACGCGCTGCCCCCTTCCCGATCCATTCCGCCCTCGGAGCGGCGAGCAGGACTGAGCCGATGCCCATTATTGGACAAGCGCCGTCTCTTTCTGCCGGCAAATTGATCCCAAATCGCATCCCAGTGCCCGCCGCGGGCCGGCCGGCAATGGCTTTACTGCAGGGGCCGTGCCCAGGTGCCTGGAGACTTCCCGGTGCGGCGCCCAGCTCTGCTTTTCCTCCTTTAAATGAGTTTCTCGCCTTGGAGCTTACGGAGAAAATCTGGGAGTGCGGCCGGAGCGTTAACCTAAAGGCTTTAGAGGCAGAGAGCAAATGCCAACTTGCCGATGGGCGGCTCTGCGGCAAGCTGCAGGGCTCTGCTCCCGCCCGGCTCGCGCCTAGGCGATGCTGCCGCTCCTGGGCAGGATGCGGGTGCTGGAGCCACGGCACCGGGTGGGATAGGGGGACATTTCCTTCCCCTGCTCCCTCGAAAAGGCTGAGAGTTCCTGCTGCCCTTCCTGGCTCGGCACATCCCGGGATGCAGGGCCCTGGCTGGGAGGCTCCCCCGAGCGCTCGCCCCTGGGGTGCCGCTCGGGAGCCAGCCAGGATTTGGGATCTTGGAGGGATGGTTATGAAACCGCGCGGCTCAGCTCAGCATTTCCATTTCCCAGAGGGGTGTTTTAATAAAGAACAGCTTGACCCGGGGCGCAGGGGGGAAGAGGGAAGCGGCAGTGCCACGAGCAGCTGCCCCCACTGCCCGCGGTGCCACCCTGGCCGGCTGCATGGGCTCAGTGCCATCCCAACCATCCCGTCTGTGTGGGATGCAGGACGGGAAGGTGCCAGGGAAGGTGCCACCTCGCGTGCTCGGTGCCTGCGCTCGACAAGGAGACCTCCGGGCTCGTCGTCACCTGCAGCGGAGGGACCTGCTCGTCCCCGCTCCGCTGCCGTTTTGCAAACTCGGGTCCCGCTCGCCGAGCGTGGGGCGTTTGGGGAAAAACACCCGCGCCAGGAGCAGCCAGCGCAGCAGTTCCCGAGCTGGACGCGCTGCTGCTGGGGCATAAAATTAAGTGACTACAGCGCAACGTGAAACCGGCATCGATCTTCGTTTTCCCTCTTTTTTTCTTCTTTCCGTTCCCTCTTGCTGCTCCCGTGGGAAGCGCCTCCCCTGCTCTGGCCCAGGTGCCACAGCCACGTCCCCAACCTGGAATCTTCACCTACCGCCTTGGCGCTTTCGCTGTTTCTCCCCCAAAGTGACAATTCCCGACGTGCTCCTCTCCCCAGGGGCTCTCCTGGCCCAGGTGCAATGAGTTTGGGAGGTCTCAGCTTGCCAAGCTGGAGCCTTTTTGGGGCTGCTCGTCAAAGACCAGGCATCTCCTGCAGCACCGGAGGGTTGGGATGTCCCCAATCTCTCCTGGGGATGCACGCCCCGCCAGGCCCGGGGAAGCAAGCCTGAAAACGCCCCTCGTTTCTTTATGTATTGTTTTAATTCCCCCGCCTCGTGGCAGCTCCTTCCCAGATGATTCAAGAGCAAAACTATCCCGGCTGCTCCGTGCGAGTGCCTTGGCACCGGCCCACAGGAGCCTCGTGAGCGCCGGGGCTGGGGGCAACGCGGGGGCTGCCCATGCACGGGGACCAGGCGCCCCGCGAGCTCCAGCTGCCGCTTGGAGAGCTTGGAGAGCAGCTTCTCCCTGTTGAAATGGGAGCGCGCCGAGAGCGGCTTCCTCGGGAAAGCTGCTGGAAACCTCCAGGAAAAAAGCCGGCGCTGGGGGTGCCCGCGGTGAGTGACGGGGCGAGCTCTGCAGCGTGCACCCCGCTCGCGCCCGGCTTGCTGCGACGGCCGCAGCGTCGGCGTGCGCCCCGCTCGCTCGCGCCCTTGCACGGCAGCGGGGCCGGCACCGCGGCGCGCCGCGGCCTCCGCGCTGGGGATTATTTATATCCCGCCGAGCGCACGGGCCTCCTTGCCCGGCTCTCCCGTGCGGCCGCTGGCGCGAGCGCCGGGGATTTACAAGACTCGCTGTTTATAGAGCGGAGCGGCGCGCGGGGAGGCCGCCCGCGGGGCTGCGGCGCGGAGGGACCCCGGAGGTGCCCGCACGGGGCCCGGGGGTCCGGCAGCCTCTTCCCGCTGCTCGGATCCGCAGCCGTGCCGCTCGCGCGCGCTGCCGAGCTGTTTATCCCGCGGCGCGGGGTGTTCTCCTTCCGCCGCGAGGGCCGGGACAGGCCCCCTCGCAGCAGGGTCACGAATGCATCGGGTCTCAGCGGGGCCGGCGGCTCCCTGCGGGCTGCCCGGCTCGCTTGCCCTGAGCTCAGCAGCTTCGCCCAGCGCGGGGCAGCGCTGGGCGAGAACCACCTTAATGAAGATGAATGGGGGCAGAGCCACGGGGGGGACGGGGAGCATCTGACTCCTGCGCTAAGCAGCTTAGCCCGACCATGTCTGCCCGGCTCCAGGCACTAATTCCTAGCAGGTGATGCCTTCCCAGAAAGTTTCTTTCCCAGCTCCAGCGTCCTCTGCCAAATCTGCCGGTGGGCTCGCGTGCTCCGGGCGCTGCTCCGTTACCCCTGCAGCATCGTCCCCCAAGTTGTATGGCCACTGCACCAGTGTTCACTCGCTGCCACGTTCCTGCCTTCCCCCTGCGTCACGCTCCGTGTCCCTGTAATTCCTGCTCCGTCCTGGCCAGGCTGGAGCTCACGGTGTGCGGGCAGGGGGTTCCACTCCAATATCCCTTCCCCGGGGCCCTGCTGCGCTCCCGGCCCCCGGAGGAGTTAATGGCATAAGGAAGGAAAGGGGCTTCGTTAATAATTCACTAGGAAAAGAAACTGGCTCCATTGCGGACCTCGGAGGTCAGGGAGCACCCGGCAAGGGGTGACCCCACCTTGTGCCTCAGTTTCCCCAGCCGTGGGATTGGGAATGGGGGATGCACCAGGGAGCAGGGGTCATTGGAGCCACTTCATTCCTGCTGCTCCAACCTGTCCTGGCCCCTCTCTCTGCATCCAGGTCCTTGCTCTGCATCCAGCCCCTCTCCTTGGCTCCCTGTGCCACCGGTCCCCCCAGCTCCGGCTTCTCCCTGCGGTGCTTTCGGGCTGCTCCTGCGGCTCCATGCCCGGCCTGGCTCTGGTTTCAGGCTCCTTGCAGCCGTTTCGGCTCGAAAGCCCCGAGTCAGCAGCGCAGGGAGCGCAGTGGAGCCGGCGCCGCTGCGCCCGGCCCGCAGGATCTTCCCAACCGGAGGAGGATGCCGCGGGACGGAGCGCCCGGCTCCAGCCTCTCCATGGGCTCTGGGCACCCGGCGATGCCCGTGGCAGCCTGGGCGCCAGACCGGACCCCCTTGCGCCGTTACGCAAGCGGCTCCCGCCGACCGCAGCCCTTCGCGCGCCGTCATGTGGGCCGGTGGCACAAGCTTCCCCGCTTTCCATATTTAGAATCGCTGGATCAGGAGAAAAAATGTATTTTTGGAGAGTTTCGTTTGCTTCAGCTCCCGAGTCTATATTTTTTTTTTCCCCCCTCCCCTCCTTGTTATTTTAAGTGGGCCAAAGCCCCTTTGGTCTTAACGCGCTGCTCCAGGGCAGGCGGCCTGGCGGCAGCTCCCTGTTAACTCTTCCCTGCGCCCAGCGCATCCCGGTCATCCCCAAGCAGAAGGAGGTCCCTGCAGGATGGCTCATGGTGTCCAGCCGCCCCCTCCATGCACCGTGAGGGCGCCCAGGGCTCCCGGCTGCAGCTCCAGGCCTGGCTGGCAGCAAGGATGCTGCGATCCCGCCCGGCATCTCCCTGGAGGAGCAGCAGCCCTCGTTGGAGGCTGCGCGTGGCCCGCAGGCTGCGGGATGCGGATGCAGCAAAGGCGGCACCTCCGTCCCCAGCCCCTCTCGGTGCCGCTCCCGGGCTGTGTCCCCTGCGCTAATGCGGCACGCGGAGCTGCTCCCCCGAGGAGCCCTGCAGCCTCTTCCCGGCTATTAAATATTTACAGCAGCGGCCCCGCGGTGCCAGGAGACGAGCGACCGTCTGCTTGGGTTTCCTCTGGGCACCGCAGCGGCGGCAGCGGCCCCGGCAGCCGCTCGTGGGCTGCCCCGCGGCTCCGTGTCGCCCACGAGGGACACCCCGTGTCCCTTGGCTGGCCGGCGGGCAGGTCCCCTCGGGCCGGGCAGGGGCCAGCGCCTGGCAGCGCTCACCGCGCTCTCCTTGCAGATTCCTGCTCGTCTTTAGCTGCTTGGTGCTCTCGGTCTTCTCCACCATCCAGGAGCACCAGAAAGTGGCCAACCAGTGTCTCTTCATCCTGGTAAGTTCTAGCCTCGCTCCGGGGCTCGGGCAGTGCCCACTGGGCACAGAGCCAGTGCCAGCTCATCCCGGACACCCCACACAGCAGCTCTGAGCTTCAGCTTCGCCCTTGCTCCCTATCAGACCTGCCCAAGATGGCCCAAACTTGGACTCTGAGCCCATCCCAGCCCTCCCCTGGTCACTTAACCCGCAATCATTAGTGCTGCTAATGATGCCAGCCCAGGAGCTGTCCTGGGGGAGCAGGTCCTGGCTGCTCCCGCATCCTCCCCCACCGCCCGGCGCCAGGTCCGCCCGGATGCCCGCCCCGCTGCGAGAGGCAGGACGGGGAACAAGGTGGAAGGAGGGGGGTCTAAAACAGGCTGCTTTGCCCCAAAGTGTCAGAAAGGGCTGACGCGGGAGTTCTCCCGAGTGATGGAGACTAATTCGGGAAGGTCCTTGTGACTTTCCCGCGCGTAAGCAGAACGGGGGCTCGCTGGCGCGCGAGGACAATGCTGACGGAGGAGGAAAAGGACCCGGCTCGGCGCGCTCGGTGCCCGGGCAGCTCCGCCTGGCGCTTCCCGGCCCCGCGTGTCCCCCTCTCCCGGCAGGAGTTCGTCATGATCGTGGTGTTCGGCATGGAGTACGTGGTGCGCGTGTGGGCGGCCGGCTGCTGCTGCCGCTACCGCGGCTGGAGGGGCCGCATCCGCTTCGCCAGGAAGCCCTTCTGCGTCATCGGTACGTGCGCACGGGGATGACAACGTGGGGACCCCCCATCCTCCGCGGGGTGACCCCGGCCCTGCTGCGAAGGCGCTGGGCAGGGCTGGGAGCCCCTCGCGCGCCCCGTCGCTTCCGCAGACTTCATCGTCTTCGTGGCCTCGGTGGCCGTCATCGCGGCGGGCACGCAGGGCAACATCCTGGCCACGTCGGCGCTGCGCAGCATGCGCTTCCTGCAGATCCTGCGCATGGTGCGCATGGACCGCCGCGGCGGCACCTGGAAGCTGCTCGGCTCCGTGGTCTATGCGCACAGCAAGGTCGGGGCGGACGGCGCGGGGACGCGGCGGGGACGGCGCCGGCAGGGCCGCCCTCACCCGCCGCCGCCGCCCCGCCAGGAGCTCATCACAGCCTGGTACATCGGCTTCCTCGTCCTCATCTTCGCCTCCTTCCTCGTCTACCTGGCCGAGAAGGACGCCAACGCGCAGTTCGCCACCTACGCCGATTCGCTGTGGTGGGGCACGGTATGTGGAGCCCCCCGCCCCGGGGGTGCATGAGGAGGGTGGCACAGGGCCCGGGGGGGACGCCTCTAGGCCCCCCCTTGCCGCTGTGCCCGCCAGATCACCCTCACCACCATCGGCTACGGGGACAAGACGCCGGAGACGTGGCTGGGCCGCATGCTGGCGGCCACCTTCGCGCTGCTGGGCATCTCCTTCTTCGCGCTGCCCGCCGTGAGTGCCGCGCGGCGAGGGGGCCACCACGCGTGCCCCCCGCCACGGGCGCCCACAGCCCCGGCCCCTGCGTCCCCAGGGCATCCTGGGCTCCGGCTTCGCCCTCAAGGTGCAGGAGCAGCATCGGCAGAAGCACTTTGAGAAGAGGCGGACGCCGGCGGCCAATCTCATCCAGGTACCGCCGGCGCTCCCTGGGCAAGGGCGGTTTGCACTGCTGCTGAGCGTCCCAGCACTGCGGGGATCCCCGGTTGTAGGGATCTTGGGTTGCAGGGAGCACAGGTTGTAGGGATTCCAGGTTGCAGGGATCCCACAGCTGCAGGGATCCCGGGTTGTGAGCTTCCCAGCATTGCAGGGATCCCAGGGCTGCAGGGATTCCATATTGCAGGGATCCCAGGTTGTGGGAATCCCAAGGTGGCAGGGATCCCAGGTTGCAAGGATCCCAGGATTGCAAGGATCACAGGTTGTGAGCATCTCAGCATTGCAGTGATCCCGTGTTGCAGGGATCCCATGTTGCAGGGCTCCCAGGTTGTGGGAATCCCAAGGTTGCACATCCCATGTTTCAGGGCTCCCAGTTTGCAGGGCTCCCAGGTTGCAGGACTCCCAGGGTTGCACATCCCAAGGCTGAAGCATTCCCGAGGTGCAGGGTCCCACAGTGCAGGGGGTCTCTGGGGGTCCCTGACGCGGGGGCTCTCACCCCAAGGCCGCCTGGCGCCTCTACTCCACGGACGCGGCCCGCGGGTACCTGACGGCCACGTGGTGCTACTACGACAGCCTGCTGCCCTCCTTCAGGTAGGCACGACACGGACCTGCCGGGGGGGCTCAGGGGGTGTGAGGAGGAGGAGCACGGGCGGCCTTCCTCCATCCGGCACGTCCTGATGCACCCGCGTGGAGGCTGCCCAAGCGCCTGACTTCCTCCTCCATCGTCGTCATCGTCATCACCACCCCATCCATCCTGTCCCCCCGCTCTCCGCGCTGCCGTGCCGTTATTGCTTTGTTTTAACCTTGGTTTTATTTTATTTTGCAAAAGGCAGGTCCCTAAGAGCGCGGGATACGAGTCCCCCTCGCACAGCCCGCGATCGGCCTCACCCTTAGGAAACTGCCTTTAGAAAGGAGGGATTCACACTCTTCCCACTCCTGGTTTTGCCCCGGTTTTGCTGTGACCCGCAGCTCAGAGGAGGAGCTGGCTCTGCGCAGCCTTGCTTTGCTCATCCTGTTTGCTTTGGAAAGTTTAATTTCTCCGTGTTTTTATTTGACCCCAACCCCAGAGAGCTGGTCCTAATCTTTGAGCATTTGCACCGAGCCCGCAACGGAGGAATTAGGAATTCAGAGGTGAAAAAATGGCCGGACGGAGCCCCACCGCCTTATCCGTCCTTCCCCTCCGGCCAGAAAAGCGGCGGCCCCGCGGTTTGGGCCGGGGACAGGTAGGGTGCAGCCGGCCGCCGTGTCCCCGTGCTCTGTGTGTGCGCGCCGGGCGGCTCCGCGGCTCCGCTCCACGGCCTCGCGGCCTCCGCCACTCGCTCTGCACCGGCCTCGGCTTCGGGAGGCCTCCTGGAGGCGTCTGCCCCGCTGAGCTCTCCTTGGGGTGGAGGTAAGGCCCTGGGGGGGTTGCAGAGGTGAAGCGAGCGTGCATGGAGCAAAGGGAGCGTGCACCAAGGGGGACGAGAGTGCACAAGGCAACCTGAGCGTGCGCGAGGTGAAACAAGTGTGCATAAGGTGACCTGAGCGTGCACGAGGCAACCCGAGCTTGTCTGAGGCAACCCAAGCTTGCACGAAGCAAACCAAGTGTGCAGGAGATGGTCTGAACATGTGCAAGGCGACATGAGTGTGCACGAGGTGATCCGAGCGTGCACAAGCTGATCCAAGTGTGCACGAGGTGACATGAGCGTGCACGAGGTGATCCAAGCGTGCACGAGGCGACGTGAGCATCCATGAGGCAATGTGAGCATGCACGAGGTGATCCGAGCGTGCACAAGGTGACGTGAGCGTGCACAAGCTGATCCAAGTGTGCACAAGGTGACATGAGTGTGCACAAGGTGATCCAAGCGTGCACAAGGTGACATGAGCGTGCACAAGCTGATCCAAGTGTGCACGAGGTGACATGAGCGTGCACGAGGTGATCCAAGCGTGCATGAGGTGATGTGAGCATGCACGAGGTGATCCAAGCGTGCTCAAGGCGACATGAGTGTGCACGAGGTGATCCAAGCGTGCACGAGGCGACGTGAGCATCCATGAGGCGACGTGAGCGTGCACAAGGTGATCCGAGTGTGCACGAGGTGATCCAAGCGTGCACGAGGCGACGTGAGCATCCACGAGGCAACGCAAGCGTGCACAAGGTGATCCGAGCGTGCACGAGGTGATCCAAGCGTGCATGAGGCTGAAGCAAACGTGCCGGCCCCAGTGAAGGCCTGGAGGTCGCTGGGGGCCGCGTGTCCGTGCAGAGCGGAGCTGCCCTACGGCTGAGCCGGGCAGTGCGTGCAGCGCTCCGTGCAAGGCGATCCCATGGGAAGTTCTCCCTCGCGCTCATCCCAGCGGAGCAATGCCCTGAAGCCAGAGGAGTTGTGGAGTGTCCCAGGCTGCACAGGCTGCAGGAGCCTGGCCGTGAGGGCACTTCCCATAGGCAGAAGCAGATTTCCAAGGCTGGGAATGCTCAGAGAAGATGAGAGGCCGTGGCTCTGCTGCTGGCATCGGTGCCACTGCTGCAAAGGGCACCCGGGAGCCTGGTGTGCGCCAAGGCTAGGAGGGCACAGGGAGCTCTCGCTCGTGCCTCCTTTTCCCTGTGGTGCCAGGAGCCTCTGCTCCAGGATGAGCCCACAGGGAGGCCGAGCCCGCGGCGGCTCCATCCCTGCTCCATCCCCACGCGCTCTCCCGGAGCCGGCGGGAGCCCCGTCCCCGCGCCCAGCACCTCCTCTCATAACATCTCCATCTTCTCTTTCTCCCCACCTCTCCCGCTCACCCGCCACCTCGTCCCCCACCCCTGTCCCTGCGGCAGCTGCAAGGAGGAGGACGCGCGGCCGCCCACGTGCTTACGGCTCAGGTAACGCGCTCGGAGCCGCCGGGCGCAGGGTCCCGCTCGCCACCTTGCAGCGCGCCGGGAAACCGGGAGCCCCGGCGCCCGCACCGTTTATGTGGGACCCCCGCAAGGCCCGAGACGGCCGCCCCCTCCCTGCTAACGCTCTCTCTTTCTCTCCGTGTCTGTGTCCTGCCCCTCCAGCCCCGTCTTTAGCGGTAAGCGGCGGCTCTTGTGGATCCGGGTGCCCTGGAGACGGAGGTAGCGGCCGCGGCGCGGGCTGCTCTCGCGGCGGGAGGCGCCGCTCGCGCTCGCCCTGCTCCCCCGCTGCCTCCATTCCCCGCGCCCTGGGCGCCTGCGCCCGCCGGAGCTGCTCCGATAAAGGCTGCGGGGCTGCACTCGCCCCTGCTCCGGAGCCACCGGTGCCCCTGCCCGGTGCCCCTTCCCGCGGCTCTGCTGGCGACTGGAGCCTCCTGCGTCTCAGCCTCTGGTGGAGCGAGCAAGGGAGCTCCCAAGGGCCGCGTTTGCCTGCAGCTTTGCAGCCACTCCGCAGCACCCTGTGGCCTCCCCGCGCCTCCGCAACGGAGGCCAGCACTGCTCCTGACACCCTGTGCATCCTGGCACTCCATGCATCCCGGCACTCCATGCATCCTGGCATACCGTGCATCCCGCCACACCGCGCATCCCTGCGCCGTGTCCCCGGTCACACGTGGCCTCCGCTGACCGTGACTTCCCTGCGCGCTTGGCACCTCGCCGCGAGCCCCCGCGGCCTTGGCTTGCTCTGCGTGCAAGGGCCTCTCCCCGGGGCACCGGCGGCTCCGTGAGAGCTGCCGGGGCCGGTGCTTCTGCGTCGGTCCCGCATAAATGAGGGCCGTTGTCCCCACGTTGCGGGGAGCGGAGCAGCGGGGCGGGGGGACAGGGGACAAGAGCAGAGCCCCCGCTGCGCCCAGGCTGCAGGGCACCGCGAGGAGGAGGAGGAGGAGGAGGCTGGTGGGCTCGGCGCTGCCTGGGCGCTGCTCTGCTGTATGTCCTGGCCAGCCGTCTGTCCGCTGTCTGTCAGTCTCATCCTCTCTTTGCTCTTGGTCCGAAAAAAGATGTTTTTAGCCCCAAAGCGGCTCCCGCGCGTGCCCATAGCGGGGCCACCTCCTGTGCCAGCCACCCCACATCTCAACCGCCCTCCTTCCCCTCCAATGCGCAGCACCAAGATGGGCATCAAGGAGCGCATGGGCCTGGCGGCGCCGGCGCGGCAGGGCAGCCGGGGCCGGCAGCCGCTGGGGCTGCCCCTGCACCGCTCGCCCAGCGCCGAGGACGTCGCCGCGGCCGCCAGCCCCGGCAAGGCGCGCAAGAGCTGGAGCTTCGGCGAGCGCGGCCGCCTGCGCGCCTCGCTGCGCCTCAAGGCCCGCGCGCCGCCCGACGGTGAGTCCCGCGCGGCGCCGTGATGACGAGCCCGGCACGACGGGCAGGGTGGCCGAGGTGGAGCGCGCCCCGTGTCCTCCCCAACCTGTGCCCGCTCTGGCGCCCGCAGCCGACGGCCCCGCCGAGGACGGCGGCGAGGACAGGGGCTCCCAGGGCGAGCTGGGTGCCGAGGACATCATGCCGGCGGTGAAGGGCCTCGTCCGGGCCATCAGGTGGGAGCATCCCATGGGGTCCCCCGGATGCTCCGCGCGGATGCTCCGCCGGGCCGGTTGGTGCCAAGCTCTGCCGGCCTCCCGCAGGATCCTCAAGTTCCTGGTGGCCAAGAGGAAGTTCAAGGAGACCTTGAGGCCCTACGACGTCAAGGACGTCATCGAGCAGTACTCGGCCGGCCACCTGGACATGCTGGGCAGGATCAAGAGCCTGCAGACGCGGTGAGCTGGGCGTCCCGGGGGGGTCCCTGCGCTCAGCAGGCCCTGGGGCCCTTCCCGGTGCCCTGCGGTGGGTCGCGAGCGATGGGCCATGTCCCCGCGTCCCCGCTCGGCGCCAGGGTGGAGCAGATCGTGGGCAGGGGGGCCGTCCCCGCGGACAAGAAGGTGCGGGAGAAAGTGGAGAAGCCGCCGCCGGAGCCGGAGGACGAGCCCAGCATGATGGGCAGGGTGGTCAAGGTGGAGCGGCAGGTGAGCGGGCACGGAGGGGGCCCCCGGGTGCCCGCGGGGGCCGGTGCCCGCTCAGGCGGTGCCCCCGCAGGTTCAGTCCATCGAGCACAAGCTGGACTTGCTGCTGGGGCTCTACTCGCGGTGCCTGCGCAAGGGCTCCAGCATCTCCTTCAGCCTGGGCGCCGTGCGGCCGCCCTGCGCCGAGCCCGACGTCACCTCCGACTACCACAGCCCCGTGGAGCACGAGGACATCTCCGTCTCCGCGCAGACCCTCAACATCTCCCGCTCGGCCAGCGCCAACATGGACTGAGCGGCGGTGCCGGTGCCGGCGGCCGGTCCCTCTCCCTTGTACTTGAAACGCGTCTTCCAGCTCGGGTGCATCGCCCGCGCGGGCACCGCGCCCTGGCTCTTGCAGGGGGTGGGAGCCCCCAGGCTCCCCCCAATTCCCAGGGGGCACACTGAGAACTGCCCCCCTGCATCCCCGGTGCTCCGGGAGCCGAGCCGGGGGGCTGCTGGATCTATGCAAGGCTGCACGGCCCTCCAGGCCCCGAAAAGGGGGGTCATGGATGTAGCACCCGGCCGCGCCGGTGGCCGGGACCTCGTCGGGGTCGAGGGTGTCAGCGCTGGGCTCCCTCCTGGGCTGCACTGCGAGCCTCTAGAAGCGCCGCAGCGCCTTCCCGTGCCTGCCCGTGCATGCTCCCCAGGCAGTAGAGACGTAGGGATAGATAGATATAGATGTATTTATACATGTATATGCAACAACGTCTGAATATGCAACACCCGTGGGCAGAGAGGCCCGCGGGGATGTAGGCAATAAGCATCTCCCCTGCCAGCCCGCGGGGCTCCCTTGGGATGGGAGCCAGGGGGATGCAGCACTGGAGGGGGTCCCTGAGGAGCATCATCCCTCCCTGGTGTCCCCCGGTCCCCTCGTGCCACCCCGCGCGGTGGCAGCAGAGCCACCGCGGCTCCCTCCCTGCCCGGCTAGGGAGAGCAGCGACCGTCACGGTAGTGCCAAAGTTTGCCCAGGGCTGGGGCTGCCTCCTGCCCTGCCAGGATTTCCAGCGCCCTTTTCCATTGCCCGGCTGGGGGAGCTGGCTGGGGTACCCCCCTGCTCCAAATTCTGCTTGTTTTACTGTCTCATTTGTGCATGTGGCAGTGGGGGCTGCCCTGAAGCCACTCACAGCATCCCTCCTGCTTGGGCTGTGCCCAGGTGCATGGCCAGGGAGCCGGTGCCCTGGGCATGCAGGTTGGTCCAAATATCCGTGTCCTGGGCACACAGGATGGTGCAGGTATCCGTGTCCTGGCCATGCAGGATGGTCTGGGTACCCATGCAGAATGGTGCAGGTGGCCATGCCCTGTGCACACAGGATGGTCCAGATATCCAGATATGCAGGATGGTCTCGGTGTCTGTGTCCTCTGCACACAGGATGGTCTAGGTGGCCATGCCCTGGACATGCAGGATGGTCTGGGTGTTCGTGCCCTGTGCACATAGGATGGTCCAGATATCCATGTCCTGGGCATGCAGGCTAGTCTAGGTATCCATGCCCTGGGCATGCAGGATGGTCTGGGTATCCGTGTCCTGGGCATACAGGATGGTCCAGGTGGCTGTGCCCTGGACATGCAGGATGGTCTGTGCCCTGTGCACACAGGATGGTCCAGATATCTATATCCTGGGCACGCAGGATAGTCCAGGTATCCATATCCTGGGCATTCAGGATGGTCCCGATATCCATGTCCTGGGCATACAAGATGGTCTGGGTGTTTGTGCCCTGGACATGCAGGCAGGTCCAGGTATCCATGTCCTGGGCATTCAGGATGGTCCCGATATCCATGTCCTGGGCATACAGGATGGTCTTGATGTTTGTGCTCTGGACATGCAGGCAGGTCCAGGTATCCACGTCCTGGACATGCAGGATGATCCAGGTATCCGTGCCCTGTGCACGCAGGCCGGTCCAGGTGGCCGTGCCCTGGCCGTGCCGGACGGGCCGGTGGCCGTGCCCTGGGTGCGAGGGTGCATGCGCCAGCTTTGCCCGCACCAGCGCGCAGCGACTGACTCGTAGGACTCCTCTGCGGGGCTGGCTGCTCCCTGCAGCCCTCCCCGTCGTAGTTACCTCACTTTATTAACTTATTAACTTATTTGTTTCATTAAAATTTGGAGTAGAGGCTGCCGGTCCGCGTGGTGTTTGTGTCCCTGCTCTTCCGGGAGGTGGCACTCCAGCCCTGCAGCCGAGCCCGCCGCAAAAGGGCCCAGGCGTCCGGGCGCCCTTGCTGCTGCCTCCTTCTCCAGCAACCACAGCCGGCTCAGCCCGGGGGTCCGGCTCTCCTCCCCTTGCCCCCATCCAGCAGCCTCCTGTGCCTGGAGGCAGCAGCCCCGATGCCACTGCAGATGGGCGTATGCAGGGCGATGGGAAGAGCGGGGGAGCCCTAGACGGCAAATCCGCCGTGCCTGCCCCATGCACGGACACCGCGCGTCCCCCAGCCCGGCTCGGAGGGACGGAGAGGCCGGGAGGGAGCCCCTTTCCCTGGCCGCGGCGCTGCCTTGGGAGGAAGCCGAGCCTTTTGCAGGTCGCTCCCCTGCGTTTCCGGGCTGTGTCTCACCAGCAAACATGTTCTTGGCACGGCCCGGTGCTCCCGCACGAGCCAAGCGCCTCCCAGGTCAGCTCCTTCCTGCCCCCGGCTGCAGCTGCCCCCGGCCGGGGGGCTCCGCGGGGCCCGGAGCTGGTGCATCCCCGGTGCTCCCCATCCCACAAAGCCCCCGCGGGAGCTCTGCCAAGCCGGGACTGAGCACAGCCAGGAAAACCCTGTGCAAACCAGGCCTGGGGCCTTGCACCGCTCTCCCCTCTGCTCTGCTCTTCCGAAAGACGGAGAAAATCCGAATGGAGACCGGGGGCTGCTCGCACTCCAGTTCTGGAGCTGAGCATCTCGGCGTGAGCAGGGTCCTTGTGCTCGTCCGTCCTGCACCTGGGTGGACTTTGCTCTGTGTCCCTGCAGCTCCCTCCCTTCCCATTGGGAGAGGCTCCAGTGCCTTTGGAGCAGAAGGAGACGGGGCTGGACGGGGCTGGGCATTGGGTGGCTCAGGGAAGTGCACTGGCGGAGTGGAAAATACCAGCGCCGGAGGACTTGGCGAGCCGTGACCTGGCCGAGCTGGTTGTCCTGCAGCTCTCCTTGGGGTCAGGACAAGCTCCTGCAGCGCAAATCCTGCTCCCGGCAGGAGCCGGTTGTCCCAGGAGGCAGTGCAGCCTGGCAGGAGCACAAGGACACAGGGAGCGGTGACCAGGGCTGACCGGGGCACTTCTTGTCCACCGAGGGTCTTGGAAAACGCGTGACTCACCCTGGATTCCCGTCCATCCTGTCATGGAGAGATTGTGTTTTCGGAGACTGCCGGACTCCAGGCTGGACTCAGTTCCTTCCGGAGGCGCTCGGCAGCCCGCGGCCCTTCCCTGCTCCGCGCCCGCAGGAAAAGGCTGTGCCGAGAGCTGGCCCCAGCTGCTCTCCTGCAAGGGCCCCCTTTGGGCTGGGTGTCCCGTGGCCCTCCTGTGTGTGCCTGGCCTGGCTCCCACGGGTGCCCGCAGCACCTCCGTGCCCGGCTGCAGTGCGGCATCCTCCAGGAATCCTTTGGCAAGGGCCAGGGATTGCTAAGTGCAGGCCAAAAACTGAGTGCCAGGATGCGGGAATCCTGCTGAGCCGGGTGCCTGGGGAGAAACCCCGGGAAAAGCAGCTGCATTGGGAACCCTGGCAGATGGGGAAGTGGGACCTGCTCCACCGGCACAGGCTGCCCACCCTGGGTGGCACCCAGGAGGTCCCCATGTGTCCTGGGTGCACGGAGGGCTCGGTGCCGGGTCGTGCTGCAGTGAGGGGGGTGAGGTGGTGGCACGCGGCCGCTTCCTGGGACAGGAATGCCAGGCAGGAGCGCGGGAGCGGAGCAGCCCGCGCCGCGGGACAGGAATGCCGGGCGGGAGCGGGGCAGCCCGTGCCGTGACGCAGGCGCCAAGGTCACCTTCGCGCGGGCACCTCTGCTCAGGTGAGCGCGGGACCGTGCCAGGCAGGGAGCAGGGGCAGCGGCGCCGCACGGCCCCCCGCCCGGGGGGGCTGCAGCCCCCGCGCCCCGTCCCGCCGCCCGCCGGTTCCGGTCGGGGCGAGGCCGCGGGGGCCGGGCCCGTATAAAGGAGCGGCGGGGCCGGAGGAGGCGCTCGGCGGCGGAGCGGAGCGGCGCGCGCGGCGGGGCGGCAGGTAGGGTCCCGGTCCCGGTCCCGGTCCCGGTCCCGGTCCCGGTCCATTTTCCATCCCTTCCCTCGGGACACGCCGCTCCAGAGCTCCGCAGGGCGGCGGCGTGGGGAGCGGGGTCCTGCCCCGTGGGTCCTCCCCATGCCACCCCCGAGCGCAGCGACTTTTTTCCCCCCACTCCCGGCTCTGCCGTGCGGCTCCCCCGGGAGCTTCTCCCTTCCCTAACCCGGCCCTGCCCCGAGCTGAGACCGGGGAACTCATTGCATCCAGCACGGCCGGCGAGGGGGGGCTGCAGCCACAGCCCCTGCCGCCCCCGTCCCCCTCGGGACCCCCATCCTGCCGGGAGGTCCCTTTGCGGGGGGGCAGGTTAGGAGATCTGCGTGGGCACTGCAGGGAAGTTTGTCCCGGGGCAAAACAGAAGGGAAACGGTAAATCCAAAGCCGTTGAGCACCCTGTAAATGGGGGCAGGGAGGGGAGAAGAGAGGGGCTGCTGCAGGGTGATGCTCATCCCCCTGGGACTGTCAAGGGGTGGGAATCCTGCAGCACGGGGGGGATCCCCTCCCACCCCCCGGAACGTCTCCCACCAGCGCCTGTGGTGGAGATCCCGTGCCCAGTCCATGCCCCTGTGTCCCTGCAGCGGTGGCAGGTCTGGGGACACGGGTGGCACCATGCGCCTGCTCTGTGCCCTGCTCATCCTGCTGCCCGAGGCGGCGGCGTCGCGGACGCGCCGGGAGCTGGCGCCGGGCTTGTACGAGCACGGCGTGTACGACGCGGGCGGCTCATACTGCGAGCGCGGCGACGTGTGCTGCCGCGGGCGCGACGACGGCTGCACCGTGCCCTACCTCGACACCATCTGCTACTGCGACCTCTTCTGCAACCGCACCGTCTCCGACTGCTGCCCCGACTTCTGGGAATACTGCCTGGGCATCCCGCCGCCCTTCCCCAAGGCGCACGGTAAGGCCGGGCACGGGGATCTCCAGCCGCAGCACCTACCCCTGCACCACGGAGCAGGGACCCCACACCACGGAGCAGGGATGTTCATGCTCACTCCCGGTTTTCCCGGGTATGGAGCGGGGACACCCAGCTTTGCTGGGCATGTCTGGGCCATGCATGCGTTAGCCCACGCAGGGGGCGAGCGGGCAGCACAAGGAAGCCTAAGAAATCCCGGCGGAGCAGAGCAGACACCCGGGAAAACCAGGCTCTTTATCCATGCCAGGGCATGTGGCGGCGCCGTGTTAACCCTCTCCGTGCCGCCCCTTCCCGTGGGATGGGCGCTCGGTGCAAGGGGTGCCGGGGGGCAGCAGGGCCGTCGTTGCAGCCGCACTCAGCACACTCCTCCGCTCTCCCGCTCAGGTTGCACCCGCGCTGGCCACAGCTACCCGAGCGGAGCCACGTACCGCGAGAACTGCAACCTGTGGTGAGTGCCCCGGCAAGGGGCAGCCTGCGAGCACCTGCCCGCGGGTGCCCGCACTGGGTGGTGGGGAGTGATGCCAAAGGCCTCCGCTCTGGTGTGTTCCCGCGTGGGGAGCCCCCGGCACCTGGATGCGCTCCCAGGTTTTGGAGCGCGCCGCGTGGGAGCCGCTTCCGCCGCCACGTTAGCGCGCGGCTGCGTCGGCTGCCGCAGCCTCCCCGGGTGCGGGCACCGCTCTGCAGCCGATGGGGTTTATTTTGGCCACGGGGGTCCGTGGGCAACTTGTGCAACGTGCCGGGACCCGCCAGGCGCCTCCACCCACCCTTGGCACAAGCAGTCGCCAGCAACCTGGCCTCATGGCTGCTGTGCTGGAGTTAACGGCATCTCCCAGGTGGGAGAAACCTGTGGGCAGGAGGCGGGCGCCTCGCCGGCGAGCAAACATCCCCGCGGCCAGCGGCCCTGGGCGGCACGGCGGGCACGGGACATCAAAGGCGGCGGCGGGGGTGAGCGCAGGGCATGCACGGGCGCATGCCTGGTGCACGGGTGCACGTGGGCGCTCAGCCCGTGCGCGGCCCAACCGTCCCTGCTCTGCTACGTGGAGCCAGCCTGGCTTTTCTCCGTGCCCTTGGAGCCGGTTTGGAGCTCCAGGAAAGGTGGTGGCCCTAAGTGATGGGTCCTGGCTGCAGTGTCGGTCCTTGGGGGCTGATGCTCTCCGGCCAAAACCTCTTCCCCATGCTCAGCATGCGGCGAGCTCCTCCGGAGTGGCCCCGTGCAGCTCCTGCTTCCCGTCGACCTCCTGCAGGGCTGGGGGCAGCCACAGGGAGCAGACACAAAGCCGGGCCGAGGTGGAAGGAGCTGGGGCAGCTCTGGGCACCCCGGCCCGCCCTGCAGCCTGGAGCGGGGCTGCGGGCCCTGGCGTCCGGCGCCCGTCCCCGAGGAGTTAATAGCACAAGGCTGGGTCAGCGGGGCCGCGCTGCTGGAGCCGCTGCGCGGGGCACAAGGGCTCCCGGCGTCTTACGGGCTTTTTCCATTGCCTCAGAGGCTGCGCGGGGGGAGCGCGGCCGGGCCAGCCCGGGAGGGGTCTGCAGCCTGCGCTGCCAGCCTGTTTCTGCGTCCCCGTGTCCCCTGCAAGGGGCCTCTGCAGCCCGGTGTCCCCTGCAAGGTGGCACGCAGTGCAGGTGCATGGCCCCGGCAGGGTGATGATGCAGGGAGCGGGTCCTGCTGCACCCCGCTGTCCGTAATCCTGCCCTCAGGGAGAGCTTGGGGGTACAAGGAGCAAGCGCTGAGCCCCGCGGCCGGGATACGGCGCTGGCCAGAGCTGCTCCGGCCTCAGCACGGAGCCTTAAAAGGGAAGCGCGGCGGCGGGCGGCGCCCCAGGCATTGCTGGGCACCCTGTTGGGGGAGCGTGGCCGCCACCGCCGCCGTCCCCAGGCCGCCGCCGCGACCACCCCAGCCCCATCCCTCACGGGAGTGCCCCGGGGCCGCCCCGTAAAGGGTCCCACTCCAGCCGCGCTCCCGCTCGCAGCCCCCCAGGCGGATCCGGCTCCAAGCCCCGTGCTGACATTCGCCGCCCTGGCAGCCTCTCGGCTTGTTTTCCATCCCATGCCCCGGCTGCCCTCGCGGCTCCCGCAGGGACCAGCTCCAAGGGGCCCCTGGCCACGTCCTGGCACAGTCCTGGGGCAGCGCCGGTGGCACCGGCACGGGGGTGGCAGCACCCAGCAGGCTAGAGGGGCCGCGGTGACGGTCCAACCCTGTCCCGCTCGTGTCCCCCAGCACCTGCAGCCAGGACGGGCGCTGGGACTGCGAGGACCATGCCTGCCTCATGGACCCGGAGCTCATCAACGCCATCAACAGCGGCAACTTCGGGTAAAATCCCCTGGCTGCAGCTAGCAGAGCTGCACGGCGGCGGGGGGGGGCCACACGGCGCCTTTGGGGACACCCCCCGTGTCCCACACAGCTGGAGAGCCACCAACTACAGCCACTTCTGGGGCATGACGCTGGACGAGGGCATCCGCTACCGCCTGGGCACCTTCCGCCCGCCGCCCACCGTGCTCAACATGAACGAGCTGCACGTGAGTGCGGGGGGCTCCGCGCCGCGGCGGGCGCCCCGGCATGCAGCCCCGCGCCGCGCGCTCCGAGACGGCGGCTCAGCACATTCCCGCGCGCCGCTGTTGTTTTTTCCCCCCCTTGCCTCCTTGCACGGTTCCCATCGGAAAAGCGGCTGCCGGAGCTGCTGAGTCGGCAGAGCCGCCGCTTCGCTCGCGGGATGAGCCCGCGGGGGCTGAGCCGGCCCGGAGGGGGGCTGCATCCCGGGAGATCGCATCGGGACACAGTGGAACATCCCATGAGCGGGTCCTGATGCCCCCATGCCATGCCGGGAAGCCGGAGGCCGTGCGGCTCCGCGGATGCTCCCGACGCCGCAATTCCAGCACTGCGACCTTGACACCCGCCGGGGCCGCTCTTATTTTAGAGCCGCTTCCTGAGCCGCGATAAAGCCGCGTCCTCCCAGGGGAGGGATGTCGGGGTGGGGTTTCCCGCTCCGGGCGGGATGTGGGCATGGGATGCCTCCATGCAGCCCCGCTCCACCCGCAGGTGCCCATGGACTCCAACGAGGTGCTGCCACGGCACTTCGACGCCGCCACTAAGTGGCCCGGCATGATCCACGAGCCCCTGGACCAGGGCAACTGCGCCGGCTCCTGGGCCTTCTCCACGGCAGGTGAGGGCGGCTGCGGCGGCGGGGGGCACCGCGAGCCGCCCCGGGGCACCTCGTCACCCCCACGTGCCCGCTCCAGCCGTCGCCTCCGACCGCATCTCCATCCACTCCATGGGGCACATGACGCCCGCGCTGTCGCCCCAGAACCTGCTCTCCTGCGACACCCGCAACCAGCGCGGCTGCGGCGGCGGGCGGCTCGACGGCGCCTGGTGGTACCTGCGCCGGCGCGGGTGAGTCCGCGCCACGGCCCGGGCACACGAGGCCGCGGGGACACCCGGGAGCCTGGGGACACTCAGGGGTGCTCCAGGGGTGCTCCTGGCACCACCTTGTCTTCCCCACGGTGCTCCAAGCGGGGCTGGGGCCAGCGAGGGACATGTGCCCACCTGCCACCTTGTCGTGCCCATGGTGGCTCCCAGTGGGAATGGCCTCAGGGGGTGACCAGGCACCCGTGACACCCCCATGCTGCCACCCCGATCCCCCACATAGGGTGCCAGGACACCCAGGGGTGCTCCAGGGTGCACCTTGTCCTCCCCATGGGGCTCCAAGCGGGGCTGGGGCCCGCGATGGACATGTGCCCACCTGCCACCTTATTGTGCTCCTAGTGCCCATGGGGGGCTCCCAGTGGGAACGGGCATGGGGGGGTGGTCAGGCACCAGTGTCACCCCTGCGCCGCCACCCCGATCCCCCACGCAGAATGCAGGGACACCCAGAGGAGCAGGGACACCCAGGAGCTCTGGGACACCCACGAGCGCTCCTGGGGTGCTCCTGGCACCACCTCCTCCTCCCCACGGTGCTCCAAGTGAGGCTGGTGACGGACAAGCGCCCACCCGCCGCCCCGTCGTACCCAAGGGGACTCCCAGCGGGACCGGGCACAGGGGCATGACCAGGTCCCCGTGTCACCCGCCCCGCGCAGGGTGGTGACGGACGAGTGCTACCCGTTCACGAGCCGCGGGAGCCGCGCGCCGGGGCAGCCCTGCATGATGCACAGCCGCTCGACGGGCCGCGGCAAGCGGCAGGCGACCGCGCGCTGCCCCAACCCGCGCGCCCGCGCCAACGACATCTACCAGGCCACCCCCGCCTACCGCCTCTCGGCCGACGTGAGTGCCACCCCCGCATCCCCCGTGCCCCCTTCCCGCGTGGGCGCTGCCCGAGCCCTTCCCTGGAAGCACCGCGGGGTGGGGTGGATTCCGCTCTGGAGCCAAGTTGGAAGCGGAGCGGGGAAAAACCCGTCGGGCTCCGTGCGGGTGGCCCTGAGCCCGGCAAGGATGTGGGTCTTGGTGTTTCCTGCTGTGGGGGGGCACCCAGTTTTGGGTGCCGAAAAGGCTTTTGCAGGGGGCTGAGGTCCTGCAGCCTCCCCTGATCCCTGCCGACCGCCTGCTCTGCTTGCAGGAGAAGGAGATCATGAAGGAGCTCATGGAGAACGGGCCGGTGCAAGGTAGGGATCCCCCGGGCACCCCCAATCCCACCTCTGGGGCCCTCAGGGTGCTACAGGGCACCCACATGGGTCCTGTTCACATGGCTGTACTTGCTGCCCGCCTCGCTCCCAGCAACCGGGGCCATCATTCCCTTCCCTTGGAGCGCGAATCCTGGAAAACCTCCTGGAGCAGGGGGGGATCCAGTGCCCCCCGCTCCCCCCTCCGTCCCCCCCGTGACTTTGCTCCCGCCGCAGCCATCCTGGAGGTGCACGAGGATTTCTTCATGTACGAGAGCGGGATCTACCGGCACACGCGGCTGGCCGAGGGCAAGGCGCCGCGGCACCGGCGGCACGGCACCCACTCCGTCAAGATCACGGGGTACGTGGGGCGCCCCCCCCCTTCCCCCTGGCGCTTCCCGCGCCGCGGGAAAGGCGGCCGCTTCCTCCCAAAGGAAGCAGGGCAGGAAGGAGGCGGCAGCCGCTTGCACAGGGTTCACAAGTGCAGCGAGCGCTCCGTCCTCAGCCCCCCACCTCCCATTCCCACCCGATCATTTCAATGGGATACAGGGTGTCCCCCCCCTCACTCATCTCGCTGCAGGTGGGGAGAGGAGCAGATGCCTGACGGCCAGACCCAGAAGTACTGGGTGAGTATTGGGGGTGTCACGAGTTTGCTGAGGCTCAGCCCTGTGCCCTGCTTGAACGGCAGGGGCTGCAAGAGCCGCTGTCGCCTGGTAGAGGGACATGGGGGTGCGGGGGGCTGCGGTGGGCTCTGACCGGTGCCGGTGGCTCCTGCTCCGACGCAGACGGCCGCCAACTCCTGGGGCAAGGAGTGGGGCGAGAAGGGCCACTTCCGCATCGCCCGCGGCGTCAACGAGTGCGACGTGGAGACCTTCGTGGTGGGCGTGTGGGGCCGCGTGGGCGCCGAGGACGTGCGCCACGGCGCCTAGGGGACAGGGGACCCCTCCGCTGCCGCCGCGGGGGACACGGGGCCCTGTCTCCCCCCCCCGCGGCCGTGGGGGACACGGGGCCCCGCTGCCCCGTGCCGGGTTGCTGACGCGGCGGCCGCGGTGCAGCGGCCCGTGCAGCGCCGCCCGCCTGCCCCCAGGCCCCGCGTGTCCCCCCCTGCCCGCCGGCTCCCTAATCCCGGCCATTGTTGGGAGCCCGGTGTTGGTCCCGCGCCTGGCGCTGCCTGGCACGCAGCGTGGGGGCTGGGGGGGTTATCCCAGCAGAGCAGCCCCCCGCTCCTTGCCAATGCACATTATCCCGGCGGGAAGCTGGAGCTGGGGTGCAGAGCGCGGTGCGGGGGGGTCGTGGCCACATCCATGGTGCTACCTCCGC